GGCAAAAAAAAAAAAAAGGAAAAAAGAGGGGGCCAGGGATGTAGCTCAGTGGCACGGTGACTACATGGTAAGCACGAGGCCCTGAGTTCAATTCCTGGTACCAAAAAAATGAAAGAAAAAGAAAAAAAAAAAGAAAACTCTATTTAGGGTCTCCAGGATTTGTAATATTCTTTGTCAAAATTTATAATATCCTTAAGATAAATAATGTGTCCAAAATATTGAAGTCCCATCAGAAATTTCTTTGAATCAGTTGCCTGCGACAATGTTTTCAACACACTAAGTTATAATAAAGCCACCGTAAGACAGATACTAGGCCAAATACTTCATAGATATTTCCCTTTTCAATCCTGAAGTTCTAAGAAGAAGGTGTTGATACAGAGATGAAAACCGTAATACAGTGCACTGAAATAAATTGCCAGAAGTTTGATGGCTGATAAGTCCTGAGCCAGGATCCTCTCTGGCAATATAACTCCAGGGACCCAGGTCAATCGGGCCACACTACAAAATTAGCCTACAACTTCTGGCGACTGCGTGACATTTCTTTGCTATAAATAACAAGCACTGAGTTGTAACTTGCTTAATCCAGAATTTATACAACTGAAAATACTGGTCTTATGTGAACATTTTTCAGTTACTAGCGACCCAGCCCTACTATATATTATCTTGTAGAAAGTGTATCATTTTGAGGGTCCTGATTTTATTTACTAGCCGGTATTATAAATTCAAAGTAAATTATTCTGTGGCTTTTCTCAATTTTTCAAATATCAAATGTGTTTTTGGTTTGTTTGTTTGTCTTGGTACTAGGGATCAACTTCGGGACCTTGAACCTGAGAGAGGTTTTTTGTTTTTGTTTTTGTTTTTTTATCTTTTGGTACCAGGGATCAAACTCAGGACCTTGTGCTTGCAGAGGAACCACTGAGCTAAATCCTGGCCCTTTGTTTTTTTGAGACAGGGTCTGACTGTGTAGTTCAGGTTGTCTTGAACTCATGTATGAGTCCACAGTGCCCTTAAACTTAGTGTTCCGTCTGCCTCAGCCTCCTGAGTGCTAGGATTACAGGTGTGCACTATCACATCCAGCTCAATCGTGCTCTTTTACTTGCGTGTTAGAGTATTGGGAGTTGAACTCAGCACTCAAGCCCTGAGCTACCTCCTCACCACTTTTTAATTTTTAGACAGGGTCTCACACTAAATCTTGCAGGCTGGGCTCAAACTTTCAAACATCCTGCCTCACCCTCCTGAGTGCAAATCATTTGTTCTTTAGAAAACACATGAAGTCTACAAAAAATTATGATGTCAGGCATGGTGGTGCATGCCTGTAATCCCAGCACTGTAGAGGCTGAGGCAGGAGGACTGCCACAAGTTCAAGGCCAGCCTGAGATACATAGCAAGACTCAATCTCAAAAAACCAAAAACAAACATGGAAAAAAAAAAAAAAGGTTTGGGTTTGAGGGTGCCACAATGTAAGAGCTAAGAGCTAACTATACAAAAATTAAGAAACTTGTTTGTGTAGTCTAATTTAGCCATTTCACAATATATACCTATTTCAAAACAATGTTATGCAGATAAACATATATAATTTTGTCAATTAGATTTTTAAAGAAATCTGTACCTATACACATATACGAATTACATTTCCAGCTACAATCACAAGGTATTAGTGATTTGTGACACTCTTTTCATTTATTTCATCTGTAGAGCTGAGACTAAACACCAACAAAAATCTAAAAACAGGATGAAATTACAATTGTTAGGAGATTACTAATACAGGAGGATAAAACGTTTCAAGACTCACAAAAAATACCTGTTTAGGATTGGGAAAATGCAATTGTGACAATCCTGAGCACTTATTAAACGTCATCCACTATGACAAGTACTTTATATCCACCCTACAAGCAAAGAAACTGGGCTCATTGAAATAACTTGCCTCACCGAACAAAGGAATTAAGTTATGAAGCCAGGATTTCAAGCCCAATCTAATTCCACAGGAAACTAAACTCAGCACCTTTAATTGCATTATGTTTCCCAAATAGAGTACTGTAGTCCTGATACTGAAACAAACAAAAAACGCCATCACTAATTCAATCACTGTATTATATTGATGGTGATTCTGATGGAATTTAAGACATTACATGCAAAGTAAAATCAAGCACACATACAATACCTGGTATATCCACTGCCGTGAAAATCTGTGCTATTTAAGCTCCTGATGACAGTTTGCTGTGTAAAAAATAAAACTAATCAATTAAAACGTTCTGTAATCCTTTTGCCCCTTTGAAAATCTGACTCCAAGCACTCAAAAAAAAGTCAAGATTTGCAGTACTCAATGCTGAATGTCCACTCTTGAGAGGAGAAAAAGGACAACAGAATCCGCACCCTGGATTTTACTACTTTAACCACTCAAGTAGTTATTAACACTGAGCTTAATACAGAAAGGAAATAAAGTAACTACTGCCGACATACAAACCCCAAATCAAATCGGAGAAATAAACGGTAACACCCCATAAAGGAGAAATGTCTAACCCATGAAATCAAACCCCATCACAGAAAACGAGAAAGGCTAAGTGAAGAAACGGAAGATGCCATTTATGCATGCTATTAGATATAATCGAAATCTATAAGCGTTTTCCGAATGAACTGCACAGGCACTTAAAAAAGAGGGAGAACGGATTCCAACTCACCGCCACATTTTCACAAGTTTGAAAGGCGGTGAACATAAACATAAAGGCAACTCCTAAAATAATAATGTTAAAAAGCTTTTTGGATTCCGGGGACATTTTGGCTCCGCTCTGCCGGAGGTCAGCAGCGGCACAGGACAGTCAGCGCTCCTCCGGGCAAGCCCCTGACAATCCTGGGGAAATGAGACGGCGAAAGAAAGAGGCAGATCCGGCAGCGAGGCAGCCAAGCTGTCAACTTCCAGTTCTTGGATCACAATTCCAGGCTTGGGGTGAAGTTTCCCCAGCGGGTCCTGTTAGGACATTCCTGGGATATGATCCGAATAGAGAAGAGCCCAATACCGGAAAAGAGCCAAGAATGTCGCCACTCCAGGTTGAGGGGCCCGCGGGGGGATTAGGAGCAAGGGCAAGCTGAGCGGCCTCGCGGCCCCGCCCACGAGGCCTGACTCACTGTAGGTCATGGGACAGGTCAGCTGATCATGGCCGCGGCGCCCCCTGGGAGGAGTAGTAGTCCAGAAGGATCGGAGCGCCAGCACGCACGCGCACTGCGAAAGTTCCGACACTCCCCGCCATTCGCGGGGGTAATCAAGCGAAAGGGGCTGTGGAATGAAACCCCGCGAAGGGCCACCGGGAGCTGTGGGAGGGCGTCTAGAGTGACGAGGCGGGTCTGAGGAGACCCGGGACACAGGCCAACAGGGACAGGAGTACCTCTCTGACAAAAGCGGAAACGAAGGGCGGGCGGAAGAGGAGCGTGGCGCGTAGGCACTAGCATAAAAAGGAGGGGGAACCCGGAGGACGGGCACCGCCTCTTCCGCTAGTCTGAGCGCTCTCGCCCAGCTTCGCCAGCAGCAAACGTTTCGCGGGCTTTCCAACTGCCCGCGACCGCCTTTCCCCGCTTCACCAGCCGTGACTGCGCGCTTTCTGCCCGCCCGCTGGGCCTTGCGCAGGCGCAATGAACACAGAGGCGGGGCGCCAGAGCGCGACGTTATAAACCGGAGCGAGGCGAGCCAATCAGAGGATTCATTTCCGGGTGGCGCGGGCGCCATTTTGTGACGAGAGATATAAGAGGGCGCTGGGGCGATCCGCCAGCTCATTTGCTGTTCAGGTATCCTTACCCGCGGTATCCCCTTGTTCGCCCGCCTCCCCTCTTAGCTTCCCCACGCGGACGGCAACTGCCTGAGGAGAGGCGCGGCGTCTCGCCGCCGCAACCTGAAGAAGCTGCCACTTCATCAGAGCCTGCGGGCCCGCACACAGCGTTAGAGTCTCGGCGCCAGTTCGCGGGACACCGGGCCGCTTCATAGCCATGAGCTACGGTCGCCCGCCTCCCGATGTGGAGGGCATGACCTCTCTCAAGGTTGATAACCTGACCTACCGCACCTCGCCGGACACCCTGAGGCGCGTCTTCGAGAAGTACGGCCGCGTCGGCGACGTGTACATCCCGCGGGACCGCTACACCAAGGAGTCCCGCGGCTTCGCTTTCGTCCGCTTCCACGACAAGCGCGACGCCGAAGACGCCATGGACGCCATGGACGGGGCCGTGCTGGACGGCCGCGAGCTGCGCG